GTTCTAGATTGTTACTAAACTGCTTAGTCTGCCTCATCGTGGAATAGGCTGGATGGACAAATTCAAAAATTCTCAATGAGAAATTCATACAGCTTCAAAAAAGTTCTGGGCCGAAGGGAATGATTCTTTCCATATAAGGATCGCCATCAGCCAAAACAAAAGCAAAAAAAAACGTTAACAAAATCCAGTAGATCAGGTAGCATTCGTGGACAGAGATATAGATTTAATGTTTCAGATTGAGATGACCTTTTGGTTTGAAACTGTAAGCATTAATTGTTATTCCACAGATGCTACTTGACCTTCTGAGCATGTCCAGCACTTTTTGTTTTTAGTTCAGATTTTCAAGATTTGCTTATTTTGTGTTTGTATTTTTTTTTTTTAAGTTCATTACAACTTGTGTTCCAGGAATGGCTATTTTGAAGTCCTACTCTTCTCTCGGAAAAGATTTCTGTTTATCTTTTCCACCTTGTTCATCATCTTTGTTTAATATTTCCCTCATGTTTGATCAGCTATCTAAAAACAAACCTGTTTCCTCAGAAACACACAGTCTCTACCTTCAACTTATTCCACATGAATTCCAACTTAAATTCCACCCTTCTTGTGAGGAATCAGATTCCTCCAATACATCCAAAGCCCCTTGAACCACTGTTCACACCAGCACTAAGAACCACTCTCAATGTCATTTGCACGTTACATAAAGTCTTGACCACAATGTTGCAATACTGACCATTCTGATGAAATGTCATCTTGACCTGAAATGTTAACATTGCTTCTCTCCACAGATGTTGCCTGACCAATCAGGAATTTTACATTGTTTGTTTCTATTTCAGTTTTCCAGCATTCACATTACTCTGCTTTTGCAAAAAGTCCAGCTAGCAAAAGTCATTTTGTGTACAGACCACAGTTCTTCAGAGCGTCATGCAAAACAACCTCTGCTGCCTGTTAGTCTTGATACAATTTAAGTGTTAGATCGGGTCTTTTGTCCTTTCGAGGATGCCTCATTTAGCTTCTGCAGAGTTTGGCCTATTTCTCATTCATAACCCTGAAATTTTGAAGCCTTTTCGATGATATGTTAGAACTCCAAGGAGGTTACTTAAATGATGTAACAGTGAAATTGTGCGCAAGTCACAATCTCAGGATACTAAATGTCATCAACATTATTGAGAACGGTGCTAGGCTCATATTCTTACACTGGGGAATTCTGAATTCTTGCTTTTAGGATAAACAGAATTGTTCTATTCATTTGGATGGCTACTATTTACTCTGCCATGGAATTCAATTTGACTGAACCTGTTCACAGCAGCAGCCACTGTGCCAAACATTTTGCATGTCGAGGAATACTATCAATGGGCGCTCTTTCTTACTAAAGACTCACTTTGGAAGTCACAGCTAGTTACAGGTTGGCATTTCCTCCTCTTCTACCCTACTTAACCTTAAAAATTCATCAGGCTTCAGTTTTAATTTGATCTTGCCACAACTGCCACATCACCTACTGATCTCTAGCCTTGGAGATAATGCAAGACAAAATACTATCAGCCTCATCCGAAACCATTAATAGTAATTAAGAGTTAACAAGTTAACTTTTAATATTAAAAATGCCAGAATTGTTAAGAATTTTTATTATCTTTTATTGAGATGAGGTGTCTTCTTTTGGAAACATCCTGCTGAACAGTACTCCACAAAACAAACAGCTGACAGCAGTTTAATGAGAAGGTCCACCACAAAGTCAAAGTAATCACACATCTCAAAAATTCCACGATTTTACCTTTGAAGAAGAAAATTTGCCACATCAGGATAAAATTGACTTTGAGAGAAAGTGCATTACGAGTAGGGTCAGTGATGCTCCCATGATCTTATACTGTTACTAATCCGTGGTGGTGAAGACTATGCACTAGGAGATGGTACCAAAGTAAATTTGAAGAGTTGCTGCAATGTATCCTGTGGGTGATATCCACTGTAGCTACAGTATGAAGAAGAAATGGGCCCTTATTGAGTTTGGTAACAAACGGTAATTAAAGTTCTGTCCCGAATAGCATTATGTTTCTTGTGTTTTGTTCACATCATCCTCTCTCATGTTCATGTCATGCTTACTCCTAGGGATCAGGAGTAAAGTGATTCCAGCAGGACCAGAACAGAATACCAGTTTGCAGGCATCATTTCATGAAAAAACACTGATTAATTCTCACTCTTCACTGATAATTGGAAGCATTAGTTGACTGGGTTACATTTGTCCAGCTAACAGAAGGTCTTGGGGCTGGCCAATATCCCTAATATCTGGACCACAAAGTCCAGGTTCAAGGCCCTAATGCCCTAGGGCTATGTCATAAAGTTTGAACAGACTGATTAAAAATAATTCTATTGTCCTGCTTAGAATTCCCTTTTCATTTTAAGTCCATTGAAAGATTATTACCTCAGAACTTTTATGAAGTATGCAATTGAAAAACAATTGCTGGGCACCTTTTGAGCACAATTGTAGAAACTATGAGCAAAAATTGACTTTCGAACATAGTCAAGTGGAGCCATATGATCTGGAAAATCTATACTATCCTACAGCAAAATAAAAACCAGTTTAAATTTCTATGGGAAATATAGACTAGAAAAATACACATGAACAAAAATAATGAACAGTTCATAAGGATTTGTTCCATCAAAGCTCAGTCTTCTAGGGCACAATTCATCTAAAGCACTCGTCTAATGTAAAGCATTTTTGATATTAGAATAACCACAAGTTTGTTTATTGCTTTGCTCAGTAGGTAAAAATCACTGAAAAAACTCAGCCCATAAGTTGTACCAAGTACAACACTATCTGTAAAGCACAAACTTTTTTTGTAAAAACATTGTTAACTTACTATGGAGTTAGAAATTATTGCAGAAGATCTACCATCCTCCCTGAGCACGAATTGAAAAGCATTCTCGCACAGGCTGGGTGTTTTGCACAAATGCTTTGCCATACAAAGAAACTGAAGTGTTACAAAACTAAATAAAAACTGAAAGAACTGCAGATGCTGTAAATCAGAAGCAAAAACAGAAGTTGCTGGAAAAGCTCTGCAGGTCTGGCAGCATCTGTGAAGAAAAATCAGAGTTAACATTTCGGGTCTGGCGACCCTTCCTCAGAACTCAGGAAGGGTCACCGGGCCCGAAACGTTAACTGATTTTTCTTCACAGATCTGCCAAACCTGCTAAGATTTTCCAGCAACTTGTTTTTGTTACAAAACTACTCTGACTTCATCACCAATCATACCTGAAACTTTTTTCCTTATACATCTTACCTGCAGTTTCATTCAAACAGAAGTCACCTGAAATATAACTAATCAAGGACAACAATAGCCACAGTTTTGTGAATGTTTAAGGACCACATTATTTTAAGTATACCTAAACTGATGAATATTTCTGAAGTGAAACAAATTATAAATGTTTGTTTATGCCATACTGTTTTCTACACTACTTTAAGTTTTCAATATACTAAACTGCCTACCCCTTCCCTGCTTGGGCAACTTTAAAAATACAAACTGGGGTTCATTTTGATAAAAGAACTGAGAAGACACATAACACTCAACTTATAAACCTGGTTAACCATAGTACTGTGCACAATATGTTCCTTATGTTGTAGGAAGGATGTGGAGGCACTTGTGAAGGAACAAAAGAAAAATCTGCGATGATCTATCAGGAAAGAATGGATAGGCTGTAGTTTGCTTCTCAAGAAAGGAAAAGGCTCAGAACTGTGTTGTTACAAGTCTATAAAATACTAGCTTGTGCAAGCTAATCTTAAATAATAAAACCATTTTTCAACTTCTAAAAGTAGTCTGAAAAGAGATATAATCTGTACATTTGCACCACACAATTCAGGCAAAAATGTGAAAAAAGTGTGTTTGGATCCTCAATTTATAACAGAAAAACTCTTCAGTTAACTACAACAATAAACCATTCAAATCTCTTCTTTTCAACCAGCTGAAACTGTCAACTAAAACCGTATTTACAAAATACGTCAGTTACTCAAATGGAGTAATTCTTCTGATGACTCCAAAGAAGTTAGTAGAATCAACTTCTCAATAAAAACACAATAGTTCTTTTCTATTTTGAAGTATAATTTAGCTTGTATCTCTTTTTGTATACATGCCCAGTTCAAACATTACAGGTCTGGAAGTTTGTAATAAATTAGTGAATAAAAAACAAATCAGAATACTCAGTTGTTGACAGCTTTAGATACATGAAAACTGTTGGCTACATTGGTCAAACTCCTAAGTCATAAAACACTTAAGGGGCCCACAAATTCAAAATGCTGGACATTCCTCAAATGTGTCAGTAGACAAAGAGTCCCAGGGAAAAAAATTATTTGAAAACGACAGATAAAATAGAAGCCTAAAACAAAATCTACAAACATCTAAAACAGCACTTTCCCTGTAGTATCACCACGTTTAAATAAAACAAAGTCCACCTGCAGCATAACATCTGTGTCCTATGAAATTAAGATTTAAATGTTTTATTTCAAAATCAGATGGCAAATTTTATCTGCATCAGACTTGTCAAATTTCACCTCTTCCCGTCTTCCGCTTAGGATCTGGTACGCTCTATGCGATGTCGCCTTGATAACAAAGAGTTTGGTTTACGACTAGGTATTGCAAAGTACAGCGACAGCTGAACTATCAACATGCAACAATTAAAAGCTAATACCCAACAAAATAATTAAAAAAAAAACGAATCGTTGCAGTCAGCTGCACGATGGTTGAGTTTTTTTAAAAATTATTTCCCCTACAGCGATCCGAAATGGTAAACACTGTGCCACATACGGTGCAATCAGGGTGTCACTGCATTCCTTCCATCGGGAAGCAGTCGGGTGGAGTTAAAAGTCTCCAGACACAGCTCCACAAAAAAGTTAAGATTGCCTCCGACTTTTAAACATGGGTTCTCAAGGTGTGTCGAACGAGCAGTCGTTGCTATGGCTGTCGGCGCACCGCTGAACGCAGCCCGAGCCCGGTGTGGATCAAGTGCGGTTCCCTTACCTGCACCGCGCTGTTGAGGAAGCAGCTGTTCTCTCCGGGTCCGTTCAGAAGCCCTTTGGGCGGGGCGATGGACAACATGCTCCCGGGCTGGTAGCCGCTCCGCAGGTTACCCCCAGGCTTCAGGAAGTTCTTCATCCAGGCCATCGTCCCGGGAGCGGCGCGAGCCACAACAATCGGACTGACAGAGGGAGGGGGCGGGGCGGTTCGGGCCGCGAGCTGGCTGCCAGGTGCCTCGCGAACACCCCCACCACACACCCACCCACCCTCCCTCCCCTTCTCAGGTGAAGCGGCTGCTCTCCATGGGGTAGCTCCCCTTCGAAAAACTCAACTCTTTTCACCCTCCGCAGTCCTTCATCGCCTTCCTCGGACACACACACTCCGCAGAGCGGTGAGTGCGGCGGTGGTGATGGCAGCGAACTGGACGAAGGACGGCGGGCCTACAGGACGGAGAGTGAGGAGAAGGAGCAGGAAAACGTTGCCCTGGCCGGATCCGGCAGGTGAGGCGAGCGGCGCGCGAAAGGAGACTACTCCGCTCCAACCGTCCGCCTTCGACACCAGCACCGCGCGCCGTTGCGCCACCACCAGCTGATTCCAGCTGCCTGCGTCCGGTCACGTGCGACTCCAGCCGCAGCTCAGGAAAGCGGGGAGTGATGGCAGCACGGCGAGTACTCCTACCTTAGGTATAGGTCTGGGGTTGTCTTTCTCTCTGTGGTTTTCCTTCCTTGCCTGTCATTTGAAAGGAGGAGGAGGAGGAGAAGGAAAAATGATTGATCGGGCAAAGCAGCTCTGTGTACAATTCAAAGGAGAGTACGTATGAACGAGTGGTGCCAAGAGATTGGGGTATTCGGGGAGGAGATTCTTCCTCGCTGACCTCCTTTCGTGGTGAAGTAAGGAGACGTTAGGTTGGGCTGTGATAATAACACTAACCAAGCTAGTGAGCCTCCAGCGATTGCAATAATCAAGCCGAACGGCGAAAGAATGGAGTTTGGAAATCTCTGCGATCTGTCCGGCCACTGCTCCTCCCTGTTAGATAATTTGTTTGGCTTATTATCTCTAGATAATTTAGTTTTGCTTTTAAGTTGAAAGATGTTTGTATGGGTCAGGAATTTTTATGATGTAAACAAGTTTTTACCAGTATTTTATTAAGTGCAATTATGGTATAATGTACTGTTTCATTTGAATTTGAATGTAACTCACGAGTATAGTGAAAAGTTTACAAGTCGCCACTTAGAGCGCCATCTTAGGTACAAAGGTACCTTGGTACAGAATCTTAGGTACAACGGAGTAAAATAAGGAAACCAAGATTAAAAAGTTAAACATTACAGTCCTCCTTACTAAAAGGTAGAAAAACAAAACAAAACACAGTTAATAGTTCAACACCACAGTCCACAAGCACCTAGCTATGCTAAGCTCGTATTCATCACAAGGGCTTCGACTCGCAGCTGCAACCACCCTGGGCTGCCTGCTGCTGCTCTTGCTGCCAGCGATGCCACCTTCTTTCGCAGTCACCATCATAAAGATGAAAGAGAAAGGAGAAAAAAGGATGTGGCCAGTCTGGTGCTGGGGAGCGGAGAGTTTCAGGATCCCGAACGCTGCGTACTTTTGAAAGCTGTTTTTCAACTTCAGTTTCACTGTTCATGTCTTATTATTCAAACTTTTAAAATTAAATAATTAATATTTATCAATAGAAAAGTCTGTAGGGAAAAACAGGAAGAGTTAGTGTGAGTGTGATTGTCCAAATAACTTCTTCCTTACCTTGAAATTAGATGATCATAGAATCCCTACAGTGTGGAAACAGGCCCTTCGGCCCAACAAGTCCACACCGAACCTCGGAGCATCCCGCCCAGACCCATCCCCCTATAACCCACCTAATCTACACATCCCTGAACACTGTGGGCAATTTAGCATGGCCAATCCACCTAACTGTAGGAGGAAACCCACGCAGACACAGGGAGAATGTGCAAAATCCACACACAGACAGTCGCCCGAGGCTGGAATCGAACCCGGGTCCCTGGCGCTGAGGTAGCAGTGCTAACTACTGTGCCACCATGCCATCCCACGGGTGATATTGGAATGATATTGGAAAAGTTGAAATAATTTTCCTTGGAGAAAGGTTGAAAGGATATTTAATATTGAAAACAGCTGTTTAAACAGAGTAAGTAAGCAAATAAAACTGAATAATGAGAGGACACATTTAAAGTAATTGCCAAAAGAAGATATAGAAACATGAAAAAAAATTCTTGTGCAGCAAGTGGTTAAAATCTGGTATGCGCCATCTGATACTGTGATCAAGACAAGTTGGCTTCAGGCATTCACGAGGGAACTGGATTATTATCTAAAAATGAAGAACGTTTCGAGTTACAGGGAGAAGGCAAGAGAATGGCATGAGATGAATTGTTTGTTCAGGAGACCCACCAATGACGTGGCAGGCCAAACCACCGCCTGAGAATCTGAGAGATCAAGATGGTTTTGTATCTAGGCAGCGATTTAATAATTCCTGAACCTACAAAAAGGAATTTGTGATTTACATCTCTGACAACAGTCAAGTATTTTCCAGTCCTTTATGTCCATAAAAATTATGAATTACTTGTAGCCACCTTCAAAGTCAATAGACCACAGTTCCAACTGGTGTATATAAATATAAGAATTTGCCTCTTAGCTTAATAATCTTAGTAGTGGTGAAAAAGTTATAAGAATTTTCACTTTGAAACAAATGCTTGTGACACAGTTGCTAAATCAGTGAAGGCAACCTCCTTGAGCGTCTGTAATATCACATGCTCCCTCTCAATCTAACTGCCTCTGAAACCATCCCAACAGTTTTCCTGTCACCTGCCTTGTGGTTTCAAGTTTAGCCTGTCACCTTTAACTCTTTGCAAACATCAGCTTATTTAAAATTGTACTGTAGATTGCTCCAGTAATTTTCCCATCATTGCCATGGTGCTGAAATGGCTCTTATCAAAGTCAGAGTGACTTTCTATGTGGTTGTGACAAAGGAAAACTATTCTTTCTCCTTCTGAATGCAGTCTTTTGACATAGTTGACAACATCATCTTCCTCCAATGCCTTTCCACTATCATCCAACAGGTAGGACAACACTCCCTGGTTTTATTCTTATCTAACAAAATACGCTTAAAGAAGTACTTAGAATGGCTTCTATTCCTGTTAGGGCATAATAACTTGTGCTGCACCAGCCCATGCCAGTCCCAGGATCTATCCTTCCTCCTTCCCCGCCCCCATCCCATTTCTTCTTTACCAGCCATCCTTTGAAACCACAGGGTAAGTTCTCACAAGTTTGCTGATGATTCTCGGCGGTTATCTTTCTTAGTGCTCCATTGTGATTAAGTTATTGAACTCCTCATGTGACTGAATGGACAGAAATTTCCACTGGTTAAATATTGGGAATCCATTATCTTTGGATGTTGCTACAAATTCCATTCCCTTGCTAACAACTTATATTCTGCTGTCTTGCAACTGTTGAGCTGAAAAACTGTTCACTAGCTTGGCATCATATCTGAGGTAGCTTCTGATCACATTTCTGTGCCTCAACTAAGACAGCCCATTGTCACCTCTATATTGTTCTACTCTGCAACTGCTGAAACCCTCATCCATGCCTTTCTTACCTATAAACCTGAGTATTCTAATGCACTCACAGCTGGTTTCTCATATTTGACTAAGTGAGGTGTCAAGGAACCTAGCAAAACCTGGAGTCGAAGGGAATCAGGAAACTTTTCCAGATTGGAGTTGTATTTATAGAAAGGAAAATGATTGTGGTTGTAGGAAGTCCGTCATTTCAGCTCCAAGAGGTCAATGTAGGAGTTCCTGAGGGTAATGTCCTAGGCCTAACCATGTTTCGCAGCTTCATCAATAACCTTTTATAAAGTTAAAAGTGGGCATGTTTCTTAATGACAGTGCTGAAAATTGCACAATTTGAGAATCCTTGGATACTGGAAAATGTGAATAGTTTCTTCTCCAACAAGAGAGAATCTAACTCTTGCCCTGCGACATTCAATGGCATCAATATTACTGAATCCCTAAGTGTCAACATCCTGGAGTGGTTACCATTGATTGGAAACTGAACAGAGCTAGCTATAAAAATACTACAGCTATAAGAATAGGTCAGAGAGTAGGAGTCCTTCAATGAGTAACCTACCTCCTTCCTCCCCAAAGTCAGTCTACCATTGTAAAGGTACAAGTCTGGAATAGAATGGAATGTTCTGAGTTTCCTGGATGATTGCAGCTCCAAAGACACTACAACCTCGACATCATCCAGGATAAAACAGCTCCTTGCTTAGTACCACATCCACAAACGTTCACTCCTTCCACAGCTGACATATACTAGTCCCAGTGTATACTTTCTCTTAAATGTACAGCAGAAGGCTGTTTAGGCAGCAGTTACCAAATCCAGGATTGTTACCATCTAGGAGGACAAGGGCAGCAAGTACATGGGGAAACCAACGTCGACCAGATCCCCTCCAAGCCATCACCATCCTGCATAGCAACGATATCGCTGTTCCCCTAATGTCAGTGGGTCAAAATCCTGAAACTCCTTTCCAAATGTTGATAATGGGGATTCAGGGATGGTAATGCCATTGAATATCTATGACGGGTTAGATTCTCTCGTTGCAGATGGGAGTTGCCTAGCAGTGTTTGGTGTCAGTGTCATTTGCTACTTGTCGGTCCAAACCTTGTTATTGTCCAGGTCTTGCTGCAGTATCTGAAGAGTTGCAAATAGTATTGACTATAATGCAGTTATCAGTGAATATTTCTCCACTTCTGGATGGAGGGAAGGTCATTGAAGCAGCTGAAGATATTTGGGCTGAGGACACTCCTGATGAACTCTTGCAGAGATACCCAAGAGCTGAGATAAGTGATCTCCTCCACCACAATCATCTCCCTTTGTGCCAGGTATGACTTCAACTGGTGTAGAGTTCTCCCTTTCATTCCCATTGTGTCCAGTTTTGTTAGGGCTCCTTGAGGGCAGAGTCAACATGGTTTTGTGCAAGGGAAATTGTTTATCCAGTTTTTGCCTTTTTTTGTGAAGTAATATATGGATAAAATTGAACCTGTTGCTAATACTGTACTTACATTTCCAGAAAGTATTTGATAAGGTGTCATGTTAAAGGATATTGTGGGAAATAAAAGCTCAGGGAGAGTAGAAGATCTATTGACGTAGATAGAAGATTGGCTAACTGAGAGGAGACAGAAGTTGGGCATAGATGCATCATTTTCTGGTTTCCAAATTTGAATTAGTATGCTACAGGGATCAGTGTTGGGCCTCCACTTTTTCTAATAAATTACTTGGATGAAAGGACTGAACGTATGGTTGTTAACTTTTGCTGATTGATGACAAGATGATTGGCAGGAAAGTAAGTTGTGAAGACGAAAATAAGAGGTTGTAAGGAGATATAAATTGGTTAACTGAGTGGACAAAGATCTGGTAAATGGAGTACAGGTGGGAAAATGGGAAATTGTCCATTTTGCAAGAAATATAAAAAAAAGTAGCCCATCATCTAAATGGTGAGAGATAAAGGTACTCTGAGATGTACATATTATGATCTTGTTGTCCGAATGCATTAATTACAAAGAGTTATTATTGTAGGTAAGAGCAACTAAATAGCAAGGCTAATAAATTGTAATTGTTAATTGTATTCAATTTCCCCCACAATATAGTGTTATAAAGTGGAATTTGACCCGCACCCCCCAACCCCGTGAACTAAAATTGAAACGCCCAAAGAGGAGCACCTTGCCCTGTAATCTGTAAAAGGAGTGTGAAAAGTGGTGTAACCTGCATTTCAGAACTTCTAGTGGTTAAATAAAATTAATCCATGACACTCACTTTACAATCAATAAGTAACAATATATTTATCTAACTCCAACAGTAAATAAATTAATTAAACTATTAACTAACTTAATAAACCCCTTCTAACTACTAACTATTCCCGAATAAAACAAGATTCTAATGGTGTGCTGTTCCAATAAATACAAGTTCCAATTATATATTATAAAAAATTTTAGGCTGTTGAAATTACAGCCAGGTTACGTCTTCTGGAATGTTCTGTGCCTTCTGATTCTTCTGTCAGGGGCAGCACGGTGGCTCAGTGGTTAGCACTGCTGCCTCATAGCGCAAGGGACTCGGGTTTGATTCAGCCTTCGGGCAACTGTCTGTGTGGAGTTTGCACATTCTCCCCGTGTCTGCGTGGGTTTCCTCCGGGTGCTCCGGTTTCCTCCCACAGCCCATCCAAAGATGTGCAGGCTAGGGGGATTGGCCTAACGTGCCCTTAGTGTTCAGGGATGTGCAGATTAGGTGGGTTATAGGG